GTGGTGGCCGACCTGGCCAGCCTGATAGGAACAGGTCGTGTGTTTGATCCTGTGCGCAGTAATATTTTGCGTCCCAATTTCCGCCCTGACTGGAGGGGCCCAAGTGCCGTAGTGACGTTTCATTTGTTTTTCAAGAAATTTTTTTTGAGTGTCTTTTATGAGTAAAATAAAATTCCGGGGGGTTTCACAAAAAACCAAGGCACACGCCCTTGCATGTGCCTTCCGGTCATTGACGCTGGGTCCCACGTCATGTTGGCGAGCCTCGTCATCATTATATGCGTATACAAACGCGATTAGCACCGTAGATGAACGCCCAAGCCATGTTTTGTCATCGGTTCAATGGATGCCACAAATTTTAGCACCAAACTGACTTTCCTCGTCAAGTTCAGACACATGTGATGTAATTGACTCAATAGTAAGCAACATAAAATTTCAAAAGATTTTTTTGTTGTCTGCATGGTCTGACATGAAACAGGATCACGATCAGCTAGAGTTGAAGTGTTGCATTCCAAAAGAAAAATAAAGTTGAACACTGTGGAATAAATTCAAATCCAATACCTTGTCGTGCGGCTGAACACTTGGGAAGGTTAGGTATCACTCTACATAGTCGATCCATCATTGCCAGGAAGAGAAAACATCATAAATATATGTGGAGGTAACTGCGGTACCTGGCACTTACATAGCCGATTTATTAAGATGGTGCTACACACACACACACTTACTAGTAAGTTAAGTGATTGAGCATGCAATGCAAGTAAAATATAAACAAGAGGGCAACTTGGACTAGCAACATATACGTAGAAGGCAAAGAGCAGTCGCAATTTGCAAGTAGTGCGTCACTCGCCGAGCTGCTTTCCGAGATTGTCCACGTCCAACAGAAACTGGGCAAACGACGCCCGCGACGAGCCCCCTTCCCCCAGCGCCGCCTCGGCCTCTTCCCTGCGAGCAGCCGCCCGGGCCCTGAGCTGCCTCCCATCCCCGCCCTCAATCACCAGCCTCACCTTGGCCTCCACCTCCTCTGCCTTGACAAAACCTGCCATGTATCCCTCCAGCTCCACGGCGACGCCCATGTCCTCCGTCACGCACACCTTGTTCATCTTCTGCTCCGCCTCCAGCGGCAGGCACAGCATCGGCACCCCGGCCGCAACGGCCTCCAGCACCGAGTTCCATCCGCAGTGCGTCACGAACGCGCCCGTCGCGCGGTGGCGGAGCACGTTCGCCTGCGGCGCCCATGACTTGACGACGAGGCCCCTGCCCTTGGTCCGCTCCAGGAACCCTTGAGGAAGCAGCGCGTCAAGGTCCGGCTCGGGGCGCACCTCCAAGTATTTCTTCGGGTTGTTGCTTCCGGCCGGGTTGCGCACGGACCATAGGAACCGCTGCCCAGACCGCTCCAACCCAACGGCCATCTCCTTGAGCTGCTCCGCCGAGAGCGTGCCCATGCTCCCGAAACAGAGGAACACGACGCTGCGGTCGGGCTGCGCATCGAGCCACTCAAGGCACTCGTTCCTCTCTGCTTTGTCGGAGGCATCCTTGGCGCCCTTGCTGACCAACGGCCCGACGCAGTAGATCGGACGCAGCTTCCTGCCGGGGAGGTCCATGAGAGACTGCACCGCCCGGCTCTCCAATGACTCAAACGTGTTCACCATAACGCCCATGGTCTCCGTGTTGCGCTTCCAGACGTCTGTCATGGCCTTGCACATCTCATCCTCGGGGTGCTCCAGCAGCTCCTTGATGAGATGAGACGCTGGCATCGGCGGGACGCCGAGGAAATCGAGGGGCATGTCCCCGAGTTCCTTCAAGCCCGTCTGCCTGCCGGCGATCACTGCCGGGACCTGGGTTAGGACCGACAGGCACGAGGCGCCCCCGACGAAGAACGTGTAGACCGGGACGCCGAGCTTCACGCAGACGTCGGTGGCGTGGACGCAGAACATGTCGAGGATAACAGAGTGCAAGCTCTTCCGGGGGATGCCACGGAGGAACGCTTCCAACCGCTCGTTATAATCGTGCAAGAGCTGGAGCATGAGTAGGAAAGGGTGCTTGCCGGAGGCGGCAAAGTCTGGCGCAGGGAGGGGCGGGAGGACATGGAAGGAGATGAAAGGGTTGGAGGCGGCGATGCGCTCGATGGCGGTGGCGGCGGAGTCTGTCGACTTGAAAGGCGGCTCGACGAGCACCACGGTGACGTCGTAGCCGTGCTTGAGGAAGACGTTGGCGAGCTCCGTCACGGGGCCAACGTGGCCGACGCCGGCGCCGGGGTACATCACCACGGTCTGCTTCATCTCGAACCTAAGCAAAGTGGGTGGACTGCAATGTTTTCAGAATATGTTTTGCAGGTGGCACTGGCACTGGCAAAAGGTGGAAATAGTTGTGGTCGTGCCTCGGGTAAGTAATTTGTGGTGGTTCTGGTTCGGGACTTCACGTCGTCAAGATGATGTTTCCTGGTAGCAGCCTGGGCAATTGGGGTACCTTGCCGAGGAAGCATATGCGTATATGCACATGGGTGACATGGCAGAGGTTTGAATCAGTCTCTTTTGTAACACAAGGAGGTTTTTCTTAGATTATAGCTCTTTTTTTTGAGTAATGCTACACGTACACCCTTTCTGAAAATCAGGTGTGGGGTGGGGGAGGCAAGTTTATGATTGGTTAGTAGATGGAAAAAATTCCAGTCAACGTGTAATTACGTGTAACTCTTTGTATGTTTAACATTATTGTTTTTTTAGTCCAACTTAGATTATAGCTGAAGGTTCATTTTGATGGAGCTACAGCGAGTCCACTGGTCAAAGTCGTCGAATCTCGGTCCACATAGATATGCAGGGACGTTTTTGAATGTCTTGCCTTCTGACAATGACTTGTACAGTAGTAACTTTGTGAGAGCAGCCCGTTTTTGACAAGTCTGGCCAGATAAACACCCCAATAGCTTTCAAGAGGAAATTGAGCGCTACGCTTCTTCCCCCAAACTATTTTGTCGGCTAATCTATAGCTAATGCTTCACTTAACCGGGGTTAAACACCATGCTGAGCTTCTGCAGTTTATCTTTCTCCGTGTGCCAATTTCAAAGTTCTAATTATTTTCAACCCGTGACACACAAAATTCACTCAAGCCTTTACACACATAATCACAGTATTATTCTACATGTAGTATACATTGCACTCATATTTTACACTAAACAAATATATGTGGGATTTTTAATACATTGGAGGTCCCACTTCTATCTGCGTCACATAAGTAACGCAGACTTCGCTTGCACGGCTAGAGGTTACTTTCAAACATTTATTTACTACTCCCTTCGTTCTTAAATATTTGTCTTTTTAAAGATTTTAAATGAGGTATCACATGTATATAGACATATTTTAAAGTGTAGATTCTATCGACGTTCTGAAAACGGGGGTCCCCGGATTTGCCTGCCTGCGACCCATGGCGTGGCTTCACCAGCGGCCTCGTACGGCTCATCTTCACCGGCAAACACTCAAGACCCTCGCGAGGGACCATGCTTCGCGAGGCGGACAACGCAAGACCTCCTCAGGGATGGCCTCACCAGGCTGGCTCGGGATGGGCGAAAAGATCAAGGCGAGGGGCACCTCATGAGGTTTCTATACGCAAGTCATGACGACTGGCGCCAGACGGACGCCAGGGCGTGCAGTGTCCTCATTTCCTCTTTAGTGCTAAAGGGGCAAGCGCAGGAGAGAAATTCGGAGGCACCAGGCAAAGGTTTCCATATCGATGCAACAAGACCAAGACCAGAAGGACGGCAGGACGGAGGTCACCGTGGAGCCCAAGACGACATCACCACCAGAGCCTTGGCAGGCGAAGACTACTTTTGTCAGGATAGCTTGTACTAGTTGTCTCCCTTCGAATTTGGCCGTTGTGGGATCTCTTCTTGCTCAATATTTGGAAAGAGGACCAGGGTCTCTATAAATAGGGATAGCCACCACCATAGAAAGGGGGGGAACCTATATCGAATCCATAGCACCCCAACCACTCGAGTTCACCAAGCACAAGAACACTTCTCCTCGCGAGGCTGTTCTTCCATTGTAACTGTTCATCCTCAGCCCAAGAGGCAATCCACCACACCACACTGGAGTAGGATATTAATCACAACGGTGGCCCGAACCAGTATAAATCTTGTGTCTCATGTTCTTTGGGTTCGTCGAGTTAGGCCGTGAGATCGTAGAGTGTGCGAGCTAGAGAGGGGGAGAGATCTTTATGCGCACACCAGTGTTCAAACCTCAAGGGTTTTGCCGGAATCCGAAATCCGACATTTGACGCGCCAGGTAGGGGTGCACCGAACCTTTCCTCTTTGTCGGTCCACGCTTCACCGCTTCGCCAAGTTCATGGCCGACGCTCGCCGGGCCCGCGCTGAGCGCCGAGCCGCTCTCGCCACCCGTGTCGCCTAGACCGCCCCTGTCGGCGGACCTCCCCGTCGTTCTCCGTCACCCACCGCCAACACCGCCACCGGCCCGGCGGCAAACGAGCAACAAGCCTCTTCACTGCACCCCTCTGTGCGGCGAGACGGTCGCACGGCCACCCCGTCGCTGACTCCGGCCGTCTCATCGTCTCACGCTCGCCGCACCCCCGCGGACGCGCAGGCCGCGCTGCTCATGGCATGCGAGCTCCTGCGCTACCATCCGGTCGACGACCTCTACGAGGACTAGTTGGACCGCATCGCCGAGCTCGTTAGCGCCACGGGGGGCTCTCCTGCAGCATCCCTCTCGCTGCCTCGCCCGTCCCCGGCTGCGGGCGATGTGGCTCACGGAGCACCTTCGCCCCCTCAGCACCAAGATGGCACCCTCGCGTCGAGGCGTGTGGCTCATGGAGCGCCTCAGCCTTCCCCGCGTCCAGACGACGTCCTCGCCCCAAGATGCGCGGCCCAACGGCGTGATCCTTCGTGCCGTGTGCCCGTTCACGAAGAAAGAAGTTGCCAGTAGGCCCCCCATCCGCAAGAAGACGCTTCACCGCTTCCAGCACCACCACGTCAGGATCGCTTGCTGCGACAGTGCCATGTGCCACTTGCCATGGCAGCGCAGGGACGCCAAGGTCAAGCTCCACCTCCACGATGAGCCCCGGTGGCCACGGCGGTCTGCCGCGCCTTCACTCCAGAGCTGCGTAGCATTGTCTGGCCGGGCAAGTTCAAGCCGGATCTGCCTCCTCGCTACAACGGCACCCCCGACCCTACGGAGTTTCTACAGCTCTACGAGCTGAGCATCGAAGCGGCCAACGGCGACGAAAAGGTCATGGTGAACTGGTTTCCCATGGCTCTCAAGGACGGCGCCCACTCATGGCTCTTGAACCTGCCCCAGGCTCGATTTCCTCCTGGGATGAGATGCGCAGCCACTTCATCGCCAACTTCCAGGGCACTCACGACTGTCCCTCGGCCGCGGGTGACCTGCGCCGCATCAAGCAACAACCGGAAGAAACCCTGCAGAAATACATCCAGCGCTTCAACATCGCGTGTATCAAGATCCCCAAGGTGACGGACGAGGCCATCATCTCAGCGTTTTCCGACGGCTTCCATGACATCAAGATGAAGGAGGAGCTCGCCATCCATGAGGAGCTGTGCACGACCTTGGAGCTGTTCAACATAGCAACCAAGTGTGAAAGGGCTGAGGAGGGGCGTCTCTCTCTCCTCGAGCTCCCTGCTGCGGATCCAGAGGAGAAGAAGGCCAAGGTCAAGGACGTGAAGTGCAAAGGAGTGGCCGTACTCACAGTAGAACCGGACACCAAGCGTGGCCGAGATCTCCCCGAGTCGTCCAAGGGCGGCCGCACGTTCTGCACCTTCCACAACGTGCGCACGCACAACACCAACGATTGTCAAGAGCTCAAGGCCATTCGAGATGGACGCTTCGGTCGACGCCCCGAGCGCAACGACCGGGGCTATGGCCGAGGAGGTGGACGAGGTGGAGGACATTGGGACGACCGTGGGCCCCGCCAAGAGTGGCGCGACCAGCCCCACAAGGATCGTTGGTAGGACCAGCCTCGTGAGGGCGCCTGGAGGGACCAGCCTCGTGAGGATCGTCGTCAGGGCAACCCTGGTCTCCCTCCGCCGCCGCCGCCAAGAAGGAATGACGACCACCAACAGGAAGAAGGGGCTGGGGGCTTCCAGGAGCCGCGCGCCATTGCCTGCATCTTTGGTGGCGCTTAGACCCCAGCCTCCCAGCGCATCTTCAAGCAGTTCTCCCGCGAAGTGAATGCAGTCCTCCCCAAGCTCAAGGCTGCACGCTTGCTTAGGTGGTCCAAGTACGCCATCACCTTTAGCTCGGCGGACCAGCTCAAATGCGCGGCAACCGCTGACGTCCTCCCGATGCTTTGTTCACCCGTCATCAGCAATGTCCAAGTCACTAAGACCCTCATCGATGGCGGTGCAGGACTCAGTGTCCTGTTCGTCGAGACGTTCGACAACCTCCAAGTGCCGTACGATTAGCTCTAGCCCACCAAGCCTTTCTCAGGAGTGACAGGCGGCTCCACCACCCCGATAGGGCAAGTTCGCCTCACTGTCACCTTCGATCAGCGCGACAACTACCACACCGAGCTCATCGCCTTCGATGTCGCCCACATCCGCCTGCCGTACAATGCCATCCTTGGGTACCCAACACTAACCAAATTCATGACAGTCACCCACCATGGATACAACGTCCTCAAGATGCCGAGAAGCGGCAGAATCATCATGGTCCCTTGTGAAGAAAGAGACGCGGTGTGCCCCCTCGAGCGCGCCTTCCAGGCCGCATCAATCGAAGACCCTGACAGCGCGGGCGTGCAGTACCCTTCTGAGGCCAACCCCAAGAAGAAGAAGCAGCTACACCGCCCTGGGCTTCAGGGGAGCAGCACCTCCAATGGCGCCACCTCAGGATACGTGCCAGTGCCTGGGGCGCCACCCTCCCTCGCATAGGGAGGCGCGCCCAGCGCCCTGCTCGGGCAGGGCTCGGGGGCTCTCTTCTAAAGGGCCTCGGACCTGGCCAACATCACGAGGGAGGCGCTCGGGCACCACGTGGAGGCATGCTTCACGGCACGTTTCCCTCAGGAGGACACCAGGCGAGGAGCACCCGACGCTCAGGAGTTCATCACCAAGGTATCTCAGGAGCTTCAGGAAGCAAGAGCAATACGCGGCGACCACCACCCACCTGGCGTCGCTCCCCACCCAGGCGAGGGTGGTGAGTTGCGCGTCTGCATCGACATCCCAGGGCTCAACAGGGCCGCATCTCAGGAGCGCTTCTGGCCTTCACGTGCTGGCCGGTGTAAGGGCTCGCCTAACAGCTATGTTCGCATGCCGTTCAACCTGTCGAGC